TTAATCTATATAATTATATATAATAATATAGTTATTCTCACACTTGTAGGTAACTTCTCTTTTTTTTGCGCATTGTTTTTTTATGGTCATAGCAAAACTTTTTCCCAATTACCCATCCCAATGAATTTATTAATTGATGAAGATAGTATAGCTGTAGAAGTAGAATTAATAGTAGTAGAAGAATCAGAAGCAATAATCAACCAAGAGATCTGTTCAAAATTTCACCATTGACTATTCTCACTTAACATTAGGAATAACGTTTGTAAGGTCACAAATATTAATTTCAATGATGCGATTTGGATCTTTTCAACTCTGAATACCTATAGTTTTGGGTCAACTGGTGACGTTGATGTTGATAGTAATATATAGTAATAAGATGAATGGACATGTCGACATGTTTGCAACAGTTTTGTTTCAAGATTATTATTCTTCTAGGAGTATTTGAAGCTTCTTGGAGAAAGTATAAACTAGGCAATTTTGAAACAGTGTCATGAAGATTATTATTGTTTGTTTGTGCAAAGTGAGTCAATTATCATTTATTTCTCATGAATACTTTAATAGAAAATGGCAGATTAAGAAGGAAAGGTAAATCAAAACAATACATGTTCCACTTGCCAAATCATAAATCGTAAAATTTAAAATTTAAATGGTTTTTAATAAGGTTAATTTTTCAGTTCATTCATTAAAGAAATGATAATGATAATTATTCTTGAAACAATTTATTTAAAATTATTCATATTTGTGTTGCTTGCGTGCTCTTTAATCACGTTATGACTTATTCTTGGGTCTTGCTTGACCTTCTTTGATTAGCTTATAAATCGCTGAATTCCGGGTGAAAATTTATGTCAAAATTGGTGGACATTTGGTGCAATGGATTCGTAATCTCTCATCAGCACTTGAACTAAGTCAAATTTTTCTCAATTAAAATATTAATTGTTACACATTTCTGCATTTCTATATATACAGTACAAATATTTAAAAGTCTTATTTATTTGTCTAATTGACCAATGGCCCATTTTTTATTAGAAAAGTATGAGGATTGTTTTATATGAATTTCGATAATTAAAAATCATATCAGTCTTAATGATGATTAAAATAATACATGAACCATTTTATCATTATTCTAAAATTCAATTTTAGATTTTATATTTTCGGAAATACTAGCATCATCTAATATTATACGTAATTATAATTAAAGTTTAGCTAACAAACTTATCAATTGTTCAATATCGAAAAAGTATTTGCTTACTTCTAATAATAGATTTTAAAGAACCAGGATTCTATATCATTTAAATTACATTGATTATTATTTTCAAATTAAATTGCGTAAATACTCATGCACTTTTTATTTCGCATGAGTTAAAAATTTAGACCTTTAAATCATGGGTCTAAAAGTTGCAGCCAAAGCAGTCATTATAGGGTCATGCCATCTATAGTTTATCTGTTCTAAAATTGTATCATCTACTTCTTTAATTTCTAAATCTCTTGCAACTCCTCTTTTAATTTTTTAGTCAAATTGAGAATAATTGGATAGATGATACATATGTAAACTCGATAAGTCGGACATGTGGGGGTGAGCTCATACGACCGACTTATCGAATTAAATTACTTAAATATTAAGAAAATGGGGTGAAAACTTTGGCCGACTTATCGAGTTTACATATGTATTTGGATAAATAGCATTCGCAAAAGGTTTTAGAATATCTACCAATTCTTCAACAGCCATGCTTGTCAAAAAAAATTTTATCTAAGGATTACCTAGAGTTCTGGGCGGGTCATGTCGGGTTAGGTTTCTTATATTTTGGATCGTGCCATAAATTTAATTTACTATTACTGCGTGTCACACGGGTCACACCAATGATGACAAATGAACTCAAATGACAAAATGACAAGTCAATTTGGGTCATTTGCTGAACCAATCATATTGTTTGATTTTAATCATGAATTATAAAATCAGGTGATTTTAAATTATTAAAATATTAGATTCCATTTGGCAATTGATCATCAGCGGGATGTATTCTAAAAGGATTTAAAAATATCTTCATTATCATCAATATATCATCCAATTTTAAATCAATTCTACTCAACATTAAGTTCTGTTAATAGGATCACCAATTTCTTCTTCAAGGCATATGATTCTTCCTTTCCTTCAAAAGATGCTGACCTTATTCGAATAAAATCTAATTAGTGTTGGTCACCAAAACTGTTTTGAAGAGGCAAAAATCAAAACTAAAATGTAATTGGATTAAAATCATTAGGTAATTCATCCTTGATAATGGAATAGCCTAATTCTTTAACAGTGACTATTGCATTATCCAATGTTTTATATGAATATGATATAAAATATTATTAATAAAATCATTTAGATAGCAATAATAATTAATGTTCTTTATTGTATTCTAATCCTAAAAGCCATAATCTTAACCCAT